GATGAATCACTACTCATCATCATCGAAGCCAGCGAATCTGAAGGACTAGCACTGCTGCTGCTCGTACTACTAGAGCTTGCCTCCGTCGTTGGACCATTGTTTGATGCGTCCTGACGTGCTTCATTTCTGCCCAAATATCCGCGATCTTCCTTCAAGTCCAAGAACGATGATTTCGCGAGAGGCAAGCCCACCTTGATTCGATTGAATTCCGCCGATGATTCAGTCGTTCGTTGCCAGGATGCGAATGGTGACATCGCAGGCTGCCATATGCGTGCTATCCGTGGCCGACGGAACTGTGCGTGCGGAGCACACAGAGCCTGGCCCACCAATAAAATCATCAACACAAAAGACACCCATGTTTCGGACTTCATTTCCGCCGCATGTCACAAATATATTCCACGCGTGCGCAAATCAGTCGACTCTGTGTCACTCGGTGCCTGTTGAAAAAAAGAGACCCAATTGCTTATTTTAAATAGTTTTATGAGAATAACTGATGAGTGAGTGGGAATATCTTCCTGTATTCGGTGATCCTACATAGGTGACCTTGCTGGGGTCAATGGATTTTTATGAAAGTTCCTCACACTGTTAATTTGCAACTCATCTATCTTCTGATGGTTCTGCCATTTTCTGGCATGTGCATTGAATATGATTGCGCAGATAGATTTTCACGGAGCCTTCATATTATAAATTTCATTTAAAAAAATGCCCATTCACTCAGTTTTCTATTTTACACCCATCATATATACAGTGCATCATACTATACATCTCTATTTATATTTTTCCACATTAATAATCTCGTATGTGGAAAAAAGATGCGTGTTATCCCGGTTTGATCTATATTTCATATTATCCAAAATGCTACATTGTATAAATGGGTGAAATTGATATTACAGTGCATTCATAAGTTATGTAGGTTTAAAGTGGAATAATTTTCTGTCAATGATTTGAGACTGATTGAATTTTTTCTGCGCAATTCATTTTAAAATTTAATTCAGCACTTGATTTTTAGAATCACTTGTTTATGTAAAGTGGGTGTGCTGTAGACACTCATGATCATGATTGACTATATCGCAGGTATGACTTAAGNGAACAATTTTCGGGCACAGCTAAAATCACCGCTGAACCCATGAGGACGCCGCTCCCCGCCATTACTCCATGGAGTCCACACCCACCCCGCACACTCGCGCCCAGTCTTTCCTTGGGTGGACATACCCCCATACAACTACTGAAATATGTTTACACTAAAATTAGGCAATATGTTGTTTTCCTCTGTTTATAATGTAAGTAAACTATGTAAAATATTATCAGGCTTTGGGGGCAGTTAGTTTAGGTTATAGGTCAGGTTATGCTAGTGGAAATATATTTTAAACTAAAACAACCTGGCCTGACCAAACTTAGGTAAGGTCAGTTGTAAGCCTAGGCATATTTTACTATTTTAACAAAAATTACCAGACTTTGGGGGCAGTTAGGTCAAGTTAAATTAGTTAAAAGATGCTTTTAACTTACATATAACCTGACCACTCCTGAAGTCTAGTAATTTTTAAAAACAATTTAACTACAGTAAATAAACAGAGGAAAACAACATACAGTATTGCACACAATGTTTTGCACAATTTTACTGTAAACCTTTTTCAGCATTTGTACTGTGGAATGTCCATCCAAGGAAACACTGGGGTTTGCAGGCAAGGCAAACCCCAGCGCATCGCGTGCAGGCATGATTTTTTGTTTGCCCCAATTTTCCTACACAGGGTGGGCCAGAAAAAAGTGAAACAATTTTCAACACACAATAGCTCAGTAGCAAAACAAGCTGTGGCAATGAAAAAAAAAACAACAAATGGAAGCTTCAATTCCCTTTTGAAAGGTACAAAATTTTATTGTCTAAAGTGCCATGGTGTGGTCACAAGAAAGACTACAATGAAAATTTTCAAAAAAAAGTTGTCAGGCAATTTCTTCCACTAAGATGCCATTCTCCAGAGCTATTTTAGGGATAGATAAGGTGAAGGAACAGTAATTTCAATAGCAGACTTTGTGCTACCTTTAAGAGGGAGCACACATTCCCGAAATTTAAGAGGTGGGGCCATGAGGGTGAGAGGTGCAACCAAAAAAAAAAAAAAAGAAGAGCAGTGATGCAAGCTTTTTGGGTGCCAGCCTCATGGCTCCTGTGACCCCCTGCATGGGTATTTCTTTGGTATGACTGGATTACTCAAAATCAGTTTCAGTCATAACCAATCAAAATTTTCAGGTGATTGTGTCCTCCACATAGTGCATTTTCATCTGAAGCAATGAATTTTCCATTTTTATTTTGATGACTTGGTGTTTTTGATAAATTCTCCTTGGTGATGATCAAGAAAAAGGGAATTGTCAACAATTGACCAATATGGTAATAAAAGTGATGGTTGGTCATGGTGATTAATGAGGGGAACTAATTGTGAGCAATATAGTCATCCAGAACAAATTTGCTTGCAGGTGGTCACAGGAGCCATGGGGCTGGCACCCAGCAAATTTGCATCAGGATTTGGGGGTGGAGCAAGATCCCATTGGTCAATTTTTTTGGCAGTCCCTCTCACCCCCACCTCTTACATTTTGATTGAATGATATGTATGCATTGTGTCAAGTGAGGAATAAATTTGGCGAGGTCTTCTCTTGAAATACAGGTGGACCTCTCTCTCTCTTTCTCTCTCCTCACTCTCTCAATTTTCCCCAGATATAAAATTTCTGTGTCAACTAGCAAAGGCACAAAGGCACTGTAGTAAACCATCCACTGTGAAACAAGAATTAAATCACTTTCATCTTCAATTGGGACAAAGATCTTCAGCACCATGAAAAAGGTAGAAACAGAAAGAGTTGTCAATTTTTGCAAGGTTAGAAAACAAAGGTTGATCCGCCATGGTTTGTGTTCTGATCAGCACTGGTGTCAGGAGGTGGTGGGCATGCAGTTTTTGCTGCCCTTGGTTCTGGGTGGGTCGCTTTTTGCGCAGGCACGCAACCCTGGCAAGTGGTGGGAACTGAGTCACTATGTTGAGAGTCACTGATGTGTCTTCCGCCCCTTGAGCCTCCATGGTGGTTTGGTACTCCACTGCCATACCACCAATAACGGGTGCCACTTCAACTCAGGGGTTAGATAAATGATATAGAAAGGCGGTCCATGGGGCACAGAGGCTTTTTATATTTATATTTTCCTGTTGTTTCTCATTTTATATAGCAGTAAATTTTAATTCAATGAGATGTATGAATTGTGTCAAGTGAGGAATAAATTTGGAGTGGTCTTCTCTTGGAATACAGGTGGAACTCTCTCTCTTTATCTGTGCCACTTTGCCAATCTTATCTACAAGGATTTTTTTTTCTGCACAGTGTAATAAACTTTCATTTTGTCCCATGGGGTCCTCTTACCAGCATGTTATGAGGGTTTTCTACAATGAAATTCTCTCTACAACAATTTTTTTCTGGTTCATTGCATTTTGTTGTAATGAGATTCCACCTGTACAAGGTGGCATCTCTATACCTGATGAAATGTATCCATATTTGTGGTATTGGCAATGGAATGTTGAAAAAATGTTAGGAGTTTTATTTTTCTACTACAGGAAGCAGGAGTTTTGTTAAATTTATTGATGCTGTACAAGTGCAAGATAAAACTGGGTTTCAATTCCATCCTTGTGAATTTGATGATGGGATGTTCCTTTTCTGTTCAAAGTTGGGGCTTAAGTACTGTAGATTCGATTAAATTATGGACCAACAAATCTACCACTTACAGAGTTTTTGAGTCATTAGGGAAATCAGCATTTTTGCTAGGGAAGAAAATGAAGGGGTCCAGGAAGGTAAAATTGGTGATATTCTGTACCTAAAATTGCTGGATGAATGAGTTGACAGGATGCTGAACTTAGAAGCAAAAATGTATTTGTCCAATTAGTCACCCACAGCCTGCTGAAGAGCATTAATCCCTTTTGTTCAATGGTTCCCAGAATGATTGTTTGAAGGCCTGTAGAAATTTGAGTTGTGGAGGTTTTGGGGATAGCCTTTGTCTTAGGGAGGTCTATATTTTACTGTAGTGTTTTCAAGTTACTCGCACACCAGAATCAATCAAGAATAATTTGACTTAGGGAGGTTTGAATTTCCCAGGTCAAACTGCATATTGAAAGTGTCCTAAATTTGATGAAACCTTCTCAGATCAACAGGCGAGGTGCATGCTTTTGTACAATAACACTGTTCATATGGACAGTTTTTCCAGAGAAAACTAAATTTGTCAAAGATGCATGAAGAAGAAATCATCAACATCTGTTATTATTTTAATGACACCAACACTGAAATCATGTCTGCCTAAACTATTTGATGAGATTAAGCTAGTAACTGTCACATTAAAAATATATCCATGAATAGAAATAATCATTTCTTGTAATTAAATTGCATCCTACATTATTGTTAAGTAATTTTTTAAAAACATTGTTTGCATGCAAACTATGAGTAGAGGTGCAAGCAGTTGTTGTGCATGGGATTGCATGTTATAGTGTGAATAATACATGATTTGGGACAAGAAGGTATATACAGTACTGTTCTTCCATACAGTTTGCCTACTGCTTTTTACCCCAGCAAAAATGCTGGTTTCCCCAAGTCAAGAAATCCTCAAATTGAACTTTTTCTGTCCCTCGTACAAGCAACAAATTAAAAATTTTAAACTGTGCTATGTGAAGATGAGTCTTAAGCAAGTAGAATTTGAACATTCCCCATTAAAAAGGCGCGCCAGAAACATGGCGGGCATTTGTGGGCTCGGGATTTGCGCGGCACCCCGTTATTCCCCAGCGCTGCTCTAGCACGCAAACCGACTCTTTTCGCTGCTGTTGCCGCAGCACCTTATTTCTTATAATGTATTCGGGGAAAGAAAAATTATAGCAATTTTGATTGCGGGATGAGTCTTGGAAAAAAAAAGGTGGTATGTTGTGTGATGCATGAATGTGAAAGAGCCTCAAAAGGGCGGCAAAACGGGGTCATGAGAGCCAATTAGGCGCGATGTTGGAGCAGCACTATAGTCTGGGACAGCAGGGGAACGATCATCGCCTGGATGTCCTGCAAGGGGGGCAACCCCGAAATTTAGAGATACTGCTTCCACCAAAATATGCACTTGGTGAAGATATTCCCTTTCTAAATTCCTTTCACCTCTTACGGATGTATGAAGAAAAAGACAGATTTTTATCCATACTGTATTATTTACTAAAAAAAAAAAACATGTGCCCTAGGCTCAGACATGCACCTCATCAGGGATTATGACAGTTGGATTTTCCCATGTTTATTATACTGTACTAATGTAAAAAGGGAATTCAATTTTATTTTATCTGACTTTGTTTTATATGCTTCTGAAAGGGTATATGAAGGATTTGGCTGCTGATCCTTATACAATACAAGACTTGCACCAACATTGATTGATTGATGAGTATCCTGTATTTGCTGCTTGTCATTATTCACAAGGTTTAACACTTTTTAAACCAATATAATGTTTGCCACCAGCATTCCCCTTTTTTCATACTCAGTATGAAAAGCACCCTGAATGGCTGGTCCAATTATCAAGGGGGAATGGGGTAAATGCTTAAATATGGTATACTGTACTCTGTGTATACCCCATAAATGATTTGGACTGAAAAAAATCAGTAATCAAAAGCATAATTTTCAAATACAGTATAAAAAATTATGCTCATGACATAATTTGACAGCAAAGCAGAAAGTTTCTCCTAATAAAAAGCAAAAATTCAAACTTGAGGTTAAGGGATGCTATCCTGTATTGCTTGTTTGGGGCATTGAAAATATTTTAAAAATACATTTCATCAGGGAATTCATTGATTTCATTCTGCTGAATCCCTGCAGGAGACCTCCTTGATTTAAAGATTTTAAAGCTACAACAAACTTTGGTGAGATAAACAGTGACTAATTTAAAGTTTTAAAAATGAGTGAAGTTTTGTGGGGTTACTTCATCTGGCCATTTTGTTTACACATGCTGTGCATTTAAAGGGATATGGAAATATTTAAATGATGATTGCAGAGTAACATGGCACTGAGTTATGTGCAGGAATTCTATACTTAATGGGATTTGTCCAGTCATGGTATATAGCCAGACAAAAGAAACAAATGAAGAACAGATATTTTCTACAGAGAATGAACGCCCAATCATTGGACAGCTTTCAAGATAGGTATTGTAATGCAGAACTTGCTGATAGTACATCAAAGCATGCAAGAGAACCTGACACAGCAAGTTCCAGAGCTACAGCATTCCCTTCCCAGGTCAATGATGTGCATATCTTATCCTTCTGGATGATGAGGTAAAAAAAAATTCCAGGTGCAAATAGCCATGAAGTCTGATCATAGTATATATATAATCAGAGCAGTACACATTCACTCCTTTCATCTGCACATTCAATAATGGAGTTTCCTGTGTGTATAAGTAGTACTTGTTTGAACCAGATAACCCTGACAGGTGCGCATAAAAATGTTGGGAGCACAGGAGGAGGTTTCTTTTAGAGTGACTTAGCTTTTGATGAATGACAAAATATAAAATAGTCGTGGTTCACCCTTGACCTCACTTTCTGCAGCACTCAATCTTCATTTTCCAAATTTATCATCTGATACATTCATTATATTTTGTGAAAATCTCTATCCTTCTATAGTTTTGTATACATATCCTTAAATCATGCCTGCAAGGATCAAGAGAAATAAGCCGCTCATTTGCATGTATATTCAGAAAAATAATTTGTTTACTTATCCTGAGCACCTCAATTTCCTTGATTTTGGCCCATCTTCCATCAAGGACAGGATATTTTTTTTGGCAATAAACTGGAGTTTCCCTCAAGAACAAAATGGAAGGGAGATTTGTTCTAGGGACATTTGTGGCACTAAGGAAGGGTGGCACTAAATTGGTGAGCACTAAATTGAGGGTTGACTGTATAAAAAAAAATGTGATTCCTAAATGCAGACCTTTTGACACAGTGACAAGGTCCAAACATCAATCCCAAAATTTTAATTCTAATTCTCGCCTTCATTGCAGTATGTTGAGCTTTTTAGTGGAAAAGTGAAAATGACACAACAAATGAAAAAAATTTGTTTTTGAAGAGCAGTGTTGAAAAACTGAATTATCAAAGCTAGTTTTGTACCAAGCAATTCAATTCTTCTTAGGTTGGGTTCGTATATTTCGGAAATGCACGCGATGCAAAACAACATATAAAAATAAAATATTTTGCAACTTTTTCTGTGTGAGCTCCAGGCCCAACATCAATCAGAAAATCCAATATTAAAGAACTACAGTATATCAACAAAGCTCAATACTGTATAGGCTCAACTCATTTGGACTTTAAACAATGGACAGATTATTTGGATTTGAAAGTCCTACTTTATTGCAGGCTTTAATTTTATGGGATAGGCTATTTTTCACAAGAAAAAAAAAATTACACAGCAAAAAAAAAAACACAATACATGTCAACCATGAAATAGATGCGCTTGTATCTTGTGTAAGAAAATATGATGGAAAATTTTTTGATGAGATAAACATTCCTTTCTGCAATAAAAATGCATGTTGTAAGGCTAAAAATAAAATGAAAGCTTATTTGCAGACATCTTTGACCTGTATAAATACAATTCTAATCACAGACTATATAGTGAATTGAACAAAAATGGATCATGTGACAGATGAAGGGTAAAAGAGTTTTAATCAAAGGAAACAAAACTTGCATCCCAGCACAGCATGTAGAAAGCTGGCCACAAATTTGAATACTTGAGCAATAAGCAAGCGCTTGACCACATAATGTAACAAGCAGTGCCCAATACTATATACTCTTTCATATCAAGGGTATTTCTCCACAGGTTATTGTTGCACTGGGTTCCAACTGAGCGACCTAAATTCTGATGGGCAGATAAAAAGTGAATTTAACCCATGTGAAGGGATATTCACAAGTGTAGCAAGTTGCTCAACATAACTTGATCTTTATGTGACATAAGTGAGCAAAAACTGTTGATCAATTTTTCAGTCACATTTTCATGAAATATAATAATTTCTTGAGTTCATAACCACTTCTTGATTGATGAAAAGTTGATGAATTTGAATCCCAGGGAGGACAGTATCTCAAACATCCTGAATAGGAAGTACAGTCAACCCTCAATTTAGTGCCAACCTTGCATAGTGTCACAAATCTCCCTCCATTGTCTTTTCAAGGGAAACCCCAATTAAGTGCCACAGAAAAATTCCATGTCCTGGTTCCTGGATGATCAACTGGCAAAGATGGAAGAAACTAAGGCTCTGTTTTAGCAATGTGAGTGGGATTTCACTGATAATTATACATGCCCACACTCACAAAAAGCTCATAAATAATTTGAACAATCTATTCTTTAGTTTAAATAGTATAAAATATGTTTCTTGCATGACACCATCCTTCAATGAAAAAATATAAAATAAAGTGGAAACTTTCCTTTGACATTTGGGAATCCCTGCTTAGTGCCACATGATGTTGAACTTTGAAAAAAAAAAAACTTCCAAGAAATGATTCTATACTCTTTTACTAAACACAATACAGGTGGGTATATACAAATATAATAATTTTTTTCTCATCAAATATGCTGAAATACAGTGAAGAAAATGGTTCAAATCAGTTTTTCTTGTGGCCTTCTCTTTGATAAAAAAAAAACACTCAGGAGCCTCAAATTTTTGTGATCAAGCTCATTTTTCTCAAAGTAGAGATTTGCACTTAAAAGTTCCCCTTATAAAGTAACCTCAATTGAGTGACACTGCCACCCCTGCTCAGTGAAAGGACATCAAGTTACATTTTTTTGCTTTTCTCTTTCATGGGTCACACAAATACTAACCAAAATTCTTTCTAGAAAAGTTGACTTATGAGGGTTTGAAAGAAAGAGCCTTTGAGTTACAGATGTTTTTACTGCATTTTTCCATTAAGGGAATTCAGACATGGACTTGAAAAAAATTACACATAAGGAGATATATTTGATTGAAGGAGTTTCAAGTTATTAACTATAAGTTCAACTATGTAACTAATCATTGCTTGCAAGCGATTGCTTTCATCAATTTCCTGCCCCATGACCACAATGTTACTTAAATTTCTTTCCTAGAATTTCTGCAAAAAACAAAGCTTTTTCTCATGCCCCATTGGCTTTATTAAAATAATATTACCATGTACTGTTTTGTATAAAATATTTTACAGAGCATTTTTATTATACAGTGTAATAGTTGAGCAAAATTATAAGAGTAGCCAAATTCCTGCAATTTTAAAGATCCCCCATCTTCTCATATACACTTAATCTGGGGTATCAAGCCTATCCATAAGGTAAAGCGCTTTTTGTCAGCAATGAATCACTTCTTTCAATATCAAGTATTGAACACGTTTGTTTTTTCTCTGTGCTACAACCTCCAAGTAAATTTCCAGAGAACTTGGACTTTTGAAAAGCCCATATTCTTGTTGCATTCCACAAGTGCATCCGCAATTTATAAAGATAACCAATTCCCCTCTCCCCTCCCTTTTTTGTGTGGGGGGGGGGGTGGCTGTAACTTTTTTCACTACAAGACCAGTTGAAATACGTGCCAGTCCCGCTGAGGATCGTTTGTCAAGCACTGGGTTTCTTTTTCTCCTCATCCCAGCAGCGTAAACTGTATAGATATAAATATAAGAGGGCTTCATGGTGAAGAGCGGGGTTTTCCGCGCGATATATTTTCACGGGGTCATCTTTGTTCTGTTCTGTGTGCTTGTGGCGTGATTCATCGACTCTCTTCCGTTATTATACTGCCTGCCTACCTGCCCTCGACCCAGTCACCTGGATGCCTGAGTCGACTTCAGCGCTTCAGTAACTCCTCAGAAGAGGCACTGAAGCTGGGGGAGTATATATATATATACAGTATTTAAAAAAAAAAGAAGCTTGAATCAGCATCTTCTGATTGAAGAGCATTTATCTGAGTCGACTTCAGCGCTTCAGTAACTCCTCAGAAGAGGCACTGAAGCTGGGGGAGTATATATATATATACAGTATTTAAAAAAAAAAGAAGCTTGAATCAGCATCTTCTGATTGAAGAGCATTTATACTTATTTCAAATTAATCCCAGAAATGGCATTAAAGTTTGACTCAGAAGGGAGAATTTATGGTACTTTCCTGTTATCTCTGTACCTGATTCCTAGACCGCACTACCATCCAGACAAATCTTTGGGACAAGTTCATAATCACAACAACCTACCAGAAACTGAATTTTATTTTTCTGCATTCTGCTGAAACTGATTTTGGGAGACAGTTAGGTAAAGTTAGGTTAGGTCATGTTTGTTACAAATATCTTTTAACTAACACAACCTGACTTAACCTAACTTTACCTAACTGCCTCTAAAAATCAGTTTCAGCAGAACCCCCAAAAAAGCATAAACTGATTTTGGGTGGCGGTTAGGTGAAGTTAGGTTAGGTCAGGTTAAATTGGTCAGAGGGAAGGTACAGAGATGACAGGAAATTACCGAATTTATTCTGTGCTGTATTTGTAGTGCTTACTATAGTTACCAGGTACAGTACCATCATGCACCCTCAAGTAAGATGCGCACCTGGATTTTTTTTTTAGTAAAAATAACTTTGAAAAAATTCTAACCCCAAAAGATACATGCACATAAAACCATTGACTCTAAAACCACAGTACTTCAAAAATAAGAACACCTCAGTTTGAAATTGGACATCATTTGAACCTAAACTCATCTATTTTTCAATTGTTTCCATTGAAAAGTTTTTCTCAATTTTTCATCCAAAATTTCAAATCACTAGAACTGAGAGGAACTTCAAGGGACCAGTGAAAACATTCAAGTTGCAGAGGTTTCAATTTATGAAATTCAACATTTGATCAACAGGAAAAAAGTATCACAGGACAGTGTAAAACTTGAAATGTGGGACCTTGAAATTAGTTGACAGGATGCTGAACTTTGAGGCAAGGGTTCCTTTCCCCAATTAGTCTTTCACTTACTTTGAAAGCACACCAAGATGTGCTGTTATTGCTTTTCTGATAGCGTGTCAATAAAATAATAGCGGAGGGCCTCCAAAAAAATTATTTATGGGGTTTTGAGAAGGGAAACTTACATTGAGTTCAGGAGATTTTTTATGCATTGCTTTTCAGGGAATTTAGACAGAAAATTTTAAAATTTTTCAAGGGAGGTATTTGACTCAGGCAGGTTCAAGCTATCAAGGTTCAACTCTATTTACTTGAATTTACTGTATTAACTTGAGTAACATGCACCCTCATGTAAGAGATACACTATACAGTATACACAAGATCCTAAAATTTGGATATACATTTATCCATACATGCCCATTAAAACACATGCCTCATTTTCAGTGACTGAAAATTGCAGTTTTTTGAAAACAAAACACCAGAATTTGAATTTGGACTTGAAGTTCATCAGATTAAATTTTAATTCATGCGTTTCCATCTGTGAATAGTTGTTCAAATTTTTCAAAAATTATCTGCAAGAATCAATTTTATATGATGCGCATCATCAAAGCTTTTAAAGTTTTGAAATATTGTAAACCTGCTAATCATGCTGATGCGCACCCTCTGTTTTCGTCTTAGTTTTGTAAAACAAGGTGTGCGAGATAATCAAGTACAGTAATTTGCATTCATGATTTCAAGTGAACCTGGAAAATATAATGTTCAGTACTTCGATTTCCAGTTGCATAAAAATCACCTTTTCAGCGCGGATTCGGAAAACGGGTTTTGGCATTACACTCGGCACAACAAACAAGCAACCATCAGAGCACTTTCATTTTCAAATCATAAGAGAAACGTTTCTCACCTGTTTCCGAGGCAGTCATGACTTCATGATCGGTTGTACTTCACTCAGTTGACCTGAAGCGTCTGAAAAGGCGACCAGACCGTGCAAACGTTTATTCTCGATAAACCAAACACTGCTTTCCATAATCTGAAAAATTATTCCTGCAGACGGAAGTAAGCGAGACGAACGTGATCCGCGATTCAACAAAATTACAATAAATAAATGCATCGCGCGCGGATTCAAAAAAATAATAAAACTTTCAGCATAGTAAAGAACAGAAAAACGTTACAGTACAGTGCTATCTTCAGTATAGGCATCCATTTTTATTCTTCAGCCCGAAGTGCCAGAACGCAGACACCGATGAATGCCACATTTCGAAAAAAAGAAAACGAGAATAATTCAATTATTCTTTCCCAGGAGTCGATCCACGAAGGCGATAGCCCTCTGTTTGTGGAGAACTCGGAATTGTTGTTTGGGGGTTAATTGTACCGGTGCTGGTCCCGAATCAACTTGATGCACGAAATTAGACCCATTACGTCTCTGTGGCACCTCAGACACCATCGCAGACCACTCATTCACGTTTCCCCTGAAAAAATACAGTTCATACTTCACATTCGCAAGCCATCAAAAAAAGTAACGCGCGAGTTATTCAAAATTTTTCCAATTTTTTTTGCCAACTTCAGTGATGAGAAAAACTCTTGAAAGACCAATGAACAGACGATTATAAAAACGTTTCTCAACATAATATTCAGAGCAATGACACGTACATCTAGAATCCAAATAACTATAGTCAATTATTACCATCATTCTTTTGTACTAAAATTAGATTTCTACAAAAATGATCAAATGCAAGATAAGAAAATACTCAACTTTCCAAAAAGCTGATACAGTATTGTGATACTGTAGCCAGGAACAAACTCAATTTAATTTTCCTCCCAGACTTTGAATACAGTAGGACATCATTAAAATAAAAAATAATTGTCTGTATAATGAAAAAATGCTCACAATTAACAGTCATTATTTAAGACCCTGTCCATCAATAGCCACAATGTTAAGTACTGTATGTTAATTCATCACAAATTACTCATTACAACGAAGGTGCTTTACTGGCTCCAATGGCTTTCTTGTAAAAAAGATTTTACTCTATGCTGACAGTAGATTTCCACATTAAATTATCTACAGGAGACTGAAGATTTTCAATTTTTAGAATGTGCTGGAGCTTCAAACAAATTGGAAAAGTTCTAAAAAAAATTTTTTAATGTCCACAGAACTCACCCAGAATTCATCCCACCAGAACTTGGAGGACCATACAAGGCTTGTTGATTTTCGGTGTTCAACAAATTTGGGTTCCTTGCAGGGTTAAGTGGAGCTACAAAAGGAGCTGGAACAGGCTCAACTCCAACAACAGGCTCCACTTGAGAACGAGTAAGAAAACTGCTCTTGAAAGCCTCGAACTCCTCCTGAGCATTGCATCCAATTTGCCCAGCCTCAGAGAACTTCTCAATATTTGACTTGGGAAGCAGCTCAACAACTCCTCTCAACAGGTCAAACTCACCTGACTGGAAATTAACGATTTTATGAGTAGACAATATAGCATGGGCAGAATCTCATCACAAACAAATTCAACAAAAATGGGGAAATACTTTTTCACAGTACAGATGGACTCACTCCACAACAAAATTCAATGGACCATAAAAATGCATTGAAGAGATAATTTCATTGTAAAAAAAACAACCTCTATCATATTGGGTTAAAACAATGGGACCACAAAATGTCTTGTACAAAGAAAATCCTTAGACAAGATTGTTTCAGAAGGATTCTATGTGTTAAAAACTTAAATAGGACTCATGCTTACACATACACCTCCTTTCACCCAATGTTATGATGAAATTTCAACCTGTAGGTAAGCAAAAAGTTGAGAGAAAAAAAAACAGCATCAATCAAATAGGAATATTCTTTCCTCATCACGCCCACAGTAAGAGCTGGAAACTAATTATATTTTTGAAACAATTCCTGGTACCTCATAAAACACAAAAATATCCAGTTACCTCAGCAAGTCTCATGATCAACTCAGGACTCGGAACCAACAAATCTCTGTTCGAAACGCTTTCCGAACTATTGCGCTGTTGTCCAGACTTGAAAGAATTCATCGTAACACTTCCCTGTAAAAAAAGACAAACGGCAAATTGATGAGCCACTAATAATAAATCCAGACGGGAAAAAAAATGCAGCGATCATCAAACAGATAAATCTCGATCAAGGTCCCCCGCGCGTGCCGGCGAAAATGAATCAAATTAAAAACTGAACACACTCCCTCGCTCTAATCTTCTCCTTAAGCCTGTTTATTGAAGACTTGTGTGGGTCGCTGTGTGAAAGGCAACATTCCAGTCATGACTTCCCTTCTGCATCTGTTCAGACAAAGTCCGGTGATAACAACATCCTTGGCAGGATGCTTCGTGCCGATTTTTGGCACAGTTCTCGCGGATGGCTTTGCGGATTCCGCAGCTGTCCAGGCCACAACAGTCGCTGAATCCGGAGGTCAGAAGATCCTCAAGATCATGACTGGTCGCCAATTGCCCTTCTATGGAGACCCAGAAACACTGCACGAGTAATATCACACATTTTCAATTTTATTCAAAACATTGGATTTTCAACCAAGAGGGGTTCTTTTTATACACAGCTGGGTTTACGTCGTTCCGGACACACAAACCACGGAGAAAAGTTTCCGCAAGATGCGGCGAGTGATGAGCCCAATGATACTCTGGTGGAACAACGCCCAAAGACGCCCCTATTCGGTCTACTTGTCAATTTCGAGTAGTAAAGATATTTAGGTACTTTTTAATCTAAGAGTAAGAGACTTAATACTTGACTAATATCACGTCTCAAGCAATTACTTCAGAATCAGGGTGAACTGCGTTTAAAAATTGGAGAGATGCGATCACAGCATAATAATCAAATAAGGAAGGAAGGACGCGCGGAAGAATAGGATCGTGGGATTACCTCAACAAAACTCACGCAAAGAAAGGAAAAACTACTCGATTCATTCGTCAAATGCCATTATTCCTCTAATGAGTTACTTTTATGCCGGTTTTGCACTTTCATCTTACGAAACTTTCACACATACAGCCGAGTCATATCGCACAGTTCAACTTTCCGTTCGGAGTTTTCTAAAATCTGTAACATTTGTTCGTAAACATCAGGAGAAAAGGCATTACTTTAGGGTGAAGCTCTTGGAGGTTTTTCTCCATATCTTGCCCGGTGAAGGAGGTAAAGTCCACGTCAAAGGTTATAAGTTCTCGGCTTGTTGCGTCGGGAGAAAATTGGCATGATCTCGCTCGGAGGGATTGCTGGCTTCTTTCTTTCCATGTCGAAGAGCTTGCCAAGCAAAGTCGCCCTGCCTCTTGTTGGAGCTTTCGGTGAACTACATCATTTTGAAATTTGAGTTTCCTAGAATTTGTCTTGAAAGGTTCCTCGACATCCAGGGATGGCCGCGTTTTGCTACCCGTACAGCTTGCCGAACATCAAGAAGAACTTGAGCGAAGAATGTAAACGAAGTGGAGAAATGACCTTCTGGTTTCTCCGCAGTCGTAAGAAAACTATCGCGAAGTTAT